CTTGAGGAGGTGGAAGTGCGGACGGACAGGGTTATTGAGTTAGTAGAAGAGATCTTCCGCCCGACTACCTTTGCCTTTACCGTCACCCGAATGCTCGAGAAGCATGGGTTGTCAGAGTTTCTGATTTGGCTACGCCATACGTACGTGCAGTGCGGCGGCATTATCCTGACGTACCCGAGCTCGGCTCCGCAGGGTCCTCGCCAGCAGCAGCAACGTCAGCAGCCACAGCAACAGCAGAAGGCTGATGGGGATAAGCCAGTCAAGAACCCCTTGGACACTGATTTGCCCAAGGGTCACAAGTACCCTGAAGGTTTTAAGTATTGAACGGGTGCCAAGCGCAGGGCATATGTATACACGATACAAAAAGGTAATGAGTGGCGACCTCGTGGAGGGGGCGTGCAGTGCCCGCCGTCCCCACGGGGACAAAGTGATTGGACTGACCGACCGCCGCTGAGGGAGGTGCGGTCGGGTACGGTGGTAGTTCCGTACCGTGAGCGTCAGGACCGTGGTGATACGCCTCAGCCTGACCGCAACCCGTATCAGAGGGACTTAGGCTATCAGTCGGATAGGAGGGGTGGTCGTCGAGATGGTGGGGGACCGTCTCGGGATCGTCGCGACTCCAATGGCGATAATTGGGGTCGGGATTCACGGGAACCATCGCGTGAACGCTCACGTTCGCGCTCTCGTGGGAGAGAAGATGACTCGGGCAGAAATCAGGGCTATGTGCGCTCACCGTGGTGTTACCTGTGTCAGAAGTCAGGACACGTGCCCGAGGAGTGTCCCCAGTTGCGTGGTTCTAATGGCCCGGCAGCTGGGGCAGCGGCTGGGCAAGATACCGACCGAAATTGAAAAGGTGCGGTGGTCCCGATGCTGTTGGCGACAGATCGTGTGTGGGCCTATGCCGATTCAGGTTGTATATACAACCTGGTCACTGAAAAGGCGTTGCAGCGCATCGGTATAGAGCCTGATGGGCCGTATGAGGGTCCGCCATTAAGCTAAATCTGACCCATGTAGTGGGGCACAAACGTTTGGAGGCTTATCTATTGGTTGGGCAGGATAGTTTTGCTCTTGTAGAAGGGCAGCCCTTCCACGTGGTGAAGCAGATACCTATGGGGTGTGACGTACTCCTCGGATTTGATCAGATGAGGCACTCGGAGTGGGCACTGATGTGGGCGAACAGCAGCATGATTGTGGCTAAAACGTCCCTGTCCCACCTCGGGCTAAGGCGATACTTGGTTTGGGCAGGACTGGTTCCCCGGTGGGACCAGCCCGTGCTAAGCGTTGAAAGCGTGTGCGTAAGTCGGCGGGTGCAGCGGTCGCCATGCGGCAGCTTGTACAAGACTGTGCGTAGAGCGACGGTGCAGAAGTGGAGCTAGGCTCAGGGGAGAGGCTCGGGATCGTCGCGACTCCAATGGCGATAATTGGGGTCGGGATTCACGGGAACCATCGCGTGAACGCTCACAGGAGGCAGCATTCCGGCTCATAAATGAGCGCCTTAGGCAGTGTGCGGCAATGGTCCAACCCAGGCCGGAGGAACCCTTGTATCAGTACACACATGCATGTGAGCATATTGGGGTTGGAAGTGTCACGTATGTACTGCGTGAGGGCAAACTGTGGCCGGTGGCGTATTTTTCGTCCAAGTTTGCACCTGCCCAGTTGAACTATCACGTCACAGATAAGGAATGGCTGGCCCATATACATGCGCTCGCATCGTCCAGTAACCTTGTTCTCCGATCATGAAGCCCTGCTCTCCATGTGGCACAAGGACGAGTTCCCTACCGACCCACGGGGTCGAAGGCAAGGGCGCTGGCAGAAGGTATGCCTTGCACGTCAGAGGTGTCGACAATGGTCCGGCGGACATGCTAAGCCGTCTGACGGATACGGTGGACCCCATCATGGAACAGGTGGGGGGCCAGCGACTCAATCCCAGAAGGAGGGTTACTTGGCGGTATTCGGTAACCACCAGCAGCTCCCGAAGTACTTTTCCCCTGTTAGAGTGTAAGATGGTAGTCTTTGAATAAAGCGTAATTGTATATCTTTATTTACAACCTCACCTTTGGTTTTATACTCAAGGTGTTAGTGCTAGTGTTCAACCGCTTGGGTTGGCCAGGGTAAAAACTCATATGGTCAGTATGAGAAACCTTTTGCAGAACACTTTGACACTTAGATATTGTTCTATAGCATAATCTCTGCTACTCGCTCTTACGCCGATCAATTAATGTTGCTTGGCTTTCAGAGCAATTCTCTCCTAGGTATCGGCTTTCGGAGCAATGCTCTCATAGTAGCAAATGTATTATTAACATGATGTGGTTAATAATTTGATCCGCTTTTCGGAGTGACGCAACTCTTGTGATTTCATTCAAGAAAAAGAGTTTTCGTGCTATTGAAACTTGCTTGAGATCTGTAGTCTCTCATCCCCCTCTACGCTGGGGGGGGGGGGGGTGCCTTGGCAGAGTCTTGGGTAGGCCTCAACTTTTGGGCCAATGCGCCGTGGGAGTTGATCCCTCGCGTCTCGGCTAAGGTAATCGCCGAGCAGCTAGAAATCACGCTCGTGTGCCCCGTACATGTCTAGTGCGGATTGGTGGGGTGTTATGACTAAAATGTTGGCCAGGGAGCCGATTGTTATACCGCCGCAGAAAGGTGTTTTTCTCCGGCATGGCCATGAGCCGATGGATGCGCCCCCATGGGGCCCTACCCTGCTGTGCCGTATATAATACAATAAAAGGGTACAGTTGTCTAATGAGTTTTGGGTGGGTGTCCATGCGCTAGCTAAGCGTCCGGCAGCGGGTTGTGCGTTGGCTTCTGCCTTAAAGTCCCATTCGCAGCGTGTGCCGTTGGTGCCTAAAAAGAGGGGTCCCTATTGGATGAATCCTCGGACCCTGGGCAGTAGGCCAAAGTGCTGCGCGAAGAGCGCAGAAGGCGTCGGGAGCAGCGACGGATGGCGAGGCAAGGTGAGTCCCCACACACCCTCAAAGGATTGCAGCTGACGTGGCCAGAGGTCCGCAACGTAGTTGGCGCAGCGCATAACGTGTACATGCATGCGGTTGCGGACAAGGTGTTGGTCAAGCTCCAAGAGCTGTATGGTTAGACAGGCTTTGGTGACCTTGCGTTGGCGGTACGACGATCGTGCCACAGGTGCCAGGTGCGAGAGCCTCATGGCAAGCGCCAATACGGGCTGATGCAACAGCCGGAGCGTGCACGTGGCTTGTTTAAGCACGTGTTTATGGACTTCGCGGACCTCCCGCGAACATTCGAGGGTTATGCTTACCTCTTGTTGCTGGTGGACCAGTTGACTGGCATGATTCTCCTCAAGCCTTTCAAGTCCAAGAGCAGCAGGAAGGTGAAGCGTTTCCTGCAGGAGGCCGTCCACCCATGGGGTCAACCAAAGACGTACACGGTGGACCAAGACAAGGTCCTAGATTGCAAGGAGGTCCGGGATTTTGCCCGCAGCCAGGGTAGTGAGGTAGACTATATATATATATATATAAATATATATATATTTATAGTAATCTCTGT